GATCTCTAAAGGTCTTTTCCATCCTAAATGGTTCTGTGGTTCTGTGAAGCTGTCAGGACACTTCGTAAGTGAAGAGAACAGCCTTGTTGGGTGTCACTTACCCAAGTGGTCCGATCAGCTCCCTTTTAGAATCCTAGAATGGTTTGGGTTGGAAGGGATTTTAAAGATCGTCTAGTTCCAACCCCCCTGCCATGGTCGAGATTGCTGGTGATACAGGATTTTTCATGGTTTGAGATTTTGTTAAATATTTTACCCAGAACTTCCAGCGCCTGAAATACAAGCTGCTTTTCACACGCTGTGATGGTTGTGCCACAGGTCCTCACGTAACATCACGCACTTCAGTAGTTCCCTTATCTGTCTCCTGCAAATCAGGGGAAAATCCTGACTTCTGGAGCTTGACCAGCTGCCCTTGTGCAGCCGCGTGCTCCGGCAGGCCGTGCTCCGGAGCCGATCTGTCCGGGCCGAGATCGTGTGTACCCCCAGACTGGGTTCTGCACATGGGCAGCCTTGCAGAACGCAGAGGAGCTGCTTGTCTGCCTACTGTACTCGTGTGGAGCTCCAAGCTGCAGTCTCCTAGAAGCTCAGCCTCACGCAGAACCGATTACGAAGAGTCTGCAAACGGGGGTTTTGGGGCTGTTTGCCAACCCAACAGCGTTTGATCTCTTGACAGCGCTGATCCTGTAGCTCTTGATCCACTTCTAACACTAGTAGATGACCAACTCCCCGCTGCAGTGCTGTGTTCAGCTCTGGGGTCCCCAACAGCAGAAGGACATGGAGCTGCTGGAGCGGGGCCAGAGGAGGCCACGGAGATGATGGGAGGGCTGGAGCACCTCTGCTCTGGAGACAGGCTGGGAGAGTTGGGGCTGTTCAGCCTGGAGAAGAGAAGGCTCCAGGGAGACCTTCCAGCACCTTCCAGTGCCTAAAGGGGCTACAGGAAAGCTGGAGAGGGGCTTTGGACAAGGGTGTGTAGTGACAGGACACGGGGCGATGGCTTTGAACTGAAAGAGGGGAGATTTTGATGGGATCTGAGGGAGAAATTCTTCCCTCTGAGGGTGGTGAGGCACTGGCACAGGTTGCCCAGAGAAGCTGTGGCTGCCCCATCCCTGGCAGTGTTCCAGTCCAGGTTGGATGGGGCTTTGGGCAACCTGGTGTAGTGGAAGGTGTCCCTGGCCATGGCAGGGGGGTTGGAACTGGATGATGTTTGAGGGCCCTTCCAACCCAAACCAGTCTGTGATTCTGTGTCTCTCAGTCTCAGCCCGTGCTGGCTGTTGCTGTCAGTGGCAGCGTTCCCGCGTTGCCTGCTGTGCCCTTTCTGCCCACTCCTCGTCTCGGAGCAAGCTGGACCACAACAGATGCACGGATGCCAGCAGCAGTAAATTCACGCCGCATCTGCTCAAGTCTCCGGTGGTCTGTGTGTCATCCGTGGCTTGCTTGAGGGCAGGGCTGCTGGCCGGGAGGGCTGGGTCAGGCTGGAGGAACGAGCTGGCGGAAGCCTTGTGAAATTCAGCAAGGACCAATGTGAAATCCTGCACCCAGCTGGACTAACCCTGAGCAGCAGCTCTGCAGAAGAGACCTGGTGGGTCCCAGTGGGCATCAAGCTGAGCATGGGCCAGCAGAGGCTGGCAGCATCCCAGGCTGTACAGACAGGAGCACAGGCAGCAGATTGAGGAGATATGATTGTCCTCTTTGTGGTTAGACCACATGTGTGGAACTGGGTCCCCCAGTACAAGAAAGGCATCAATAAACTGGAGTGAGTTCAGCAAAGGACCACCAAAGATGGTCCAAGGGCATGAGCGCTTTCGCCATAGCTGAGGGAACTGGGCTTGTCCAGCCCAGAGAGGAGAAGGCTGTGGGAGGGACCTACCAGCAGCCCTACAATACCTTTGAGGAGGTCATCAAGAAGACGGAGACAGGTTTTTCAGTGACACCTGGTAGGAGTAAGAGAGACATAAGCTGGAACGTGAGAGGTTTTTACTGGATATAAGGAGGTCGAGCACTGGAACGTGTTGTACAGAAGCGGTGGGATCTCCGTTCCTGGTGCTTTTAGAGATCAGTCAAAGCCTTGAGGAACCTGGTCTGACCTCAGAGCTGACCCTGCTTTGAGAGGAGGTCGGACCAGAAGCCCCCTGAGGTCCCTTCCAACCTGGGTTACTCTGTGATGGAGATGACCCTTCAGACCCGTGCAGCTCCCTGCTGCTGGGGAGGGGGAGGCCAGTGGGCCGTGGAGGAACGTCCAGCTCAACTTGGCTACGAAAGGGAAACCCTGACACTGGAGCTATTGTGTATGGGACTTGGTCACCTTGAGTTACCCACAAAGGCAGGCCGTGTCATTTTAGGAAACATCCTGAAAAATATTTTAATATTGAGGACAAAGGAGGGAATTAGAGACCCAAATGTCTGCAGCTCTTCTGGTTGACTGCTGCTGCTGCTCTTTAATACGTAGTGATGGAAATGCCATGACGGGAGCTGCAGGCTGCTGATCAGTGATGGAATGTGTCCAGGGATGCATTTACAGAATTCTTTTCCTTTGTAAATATTTGAGAAATCTGGTGGCTTCTGTAGAGCTTCGCATCGCAGCATCAGGTTGGCACATGGACCTCTTGTTTCCATGACCGGGAGGTCTGATACTACATTTTTCATGGTTCGATGCTTCGGAGTCGCTGACAATTTAAGGTGGTTCAGCACCTCTGCCACAGATCTCCAGGACTGTAGGAAGCCAGTGGTGTGTTGGATTCTTTTGCGCTGGGACTGTTAGTGGCTCTGGGTTGAGGGTCAAGTACTGCCTTAAACTCTCATCTTGCCTTGGCCTTTTGGCAAGGACGGCCTGTCTTTCTCAAAGAGCAGGTTATTGGTTTAAAGTACCATGGAACTACAGGCAGAGGCCAGCAACCAAGGGCTAGATGAGCTTCCAAGTGCTTTAGATACCCAAGATGTGCATCTTCTGGAGGGACGTGGCTGAGCAGGGCAGACTCGTGTGGTTGGTGAAGGCACGGAGCGTCGGGGAAGTGGAGCGAGTTCATCTGCTTGTGTTGCGTTTTTCTTTTTTTGGCTGCTGTTCAGTAGGTGTTCCTGCATGCTTGGAGTGCTCTCCAGTGGACCCCCTGGCTTTCTGCAGACAGGCAGGGATGGAGAAGGATTTGGGATGGCTGGTGGACTTCACCTCTGTGAGAGCATGAGATGTGGCCCTCAGGCAGAGGTGTCTGCACAGGCATTAGGTAGTGACAGTTCCCAGAGAGCAGGGTTTGCTTTTGATCACCAAGTGCAGATTATTATTCTTCTTCTAAGTCGTAAATTCCCGAGCGTTCAGGTGTAGAGCAGCCCAGTTTCCTCTTTGAGGTCCGTCTTGGGTGCTCCGTCTCACATCCAGGCTGTCCGGACGTGCTGGTGGGCCCGTGAGGTCCTACCTCTGCCCGGAGGATGCTTGCTAAGAGCTGGAAACCCACCTGATCAGGCAATAGCTCCTGAACCGGTGCAATTTCCTGACATCCTGGAGCATGGAAGGAACAGACACCTGGAAATTACTACTCAAAGCTCTTGTTCCGAAGCTGAGCGTAAGTTAATAATGTTTGTGCTGAAGTATTGACTCGGTCCCGAATCCAGAGCTCCCACTTTCTTGGCTTTAACCTCCAGTCTGGCTGTGGTGCTTTTTCTGTATATTCACAGCCTGGTTTTGTGTTGGAGGGTTCTGCCATCGACCTTTATTTCGCGTAATCGCCTGGGGTTTGGGGTGGAATGAGCTTTTCTGAAGGAAGCCTTTACAGTCCGTGCCTAATGGCTGCTTTTCTACCTAAAATACTCTATCTTTATGTAAGTGTAATTGGATTATGCAAAATAATCTTTTCAAATGAGGTTTTAAAGCGTCGATCAGCAAGTTGTAGGTGTCCAAAGCTGAGCGATTCCAACGGTTCCCGTATGCAGCTGGAACGTAAAGGTCTGTTACGGAGCTGATACCTGAGGAAGACTTACTGGAACCCTCCCTCGCATCAGAATAAGGTTTTTAATAGTGGAAATTTCTCTACAGTCCAAATTTTAACTGTATGATTTCAGTTCTCCCATTAAATTAATCCATGAGGCTTTGTGGCTGCTCTTTTTTATCAAGTGCTTTTACTTCGGTGCCTTATTGTCGTGGTTTAACCCCAACGTTCGCTCCGCCCTGGTGGGACGGGGGCAAGAATGGGAAGGGTAAGAGTGAGAAAACTCATGGGTTGAGATAAAGACAGATAATGGGGAAAGCAAAAGCCACGCACACAAGCGAAGCAGAACGAGGAATTCCCTTCCATGGGCAGGCAGGGGTTCAGCTGTCTCCAGGAAAACAGGTCTTGGTGACTTGGGAAGACAAACGCCATCGCTCCGAACGTCCGGGGAGGACGTTCCTCCTCCTTCCCCCAGCTTTATACACTGAGCGTGACATCATATGGCGTGGAGTGTCCCTTTTGTCAGTTGGGGTCGGTGGTCCCGGTGGGGTGTCCCCCCCTGGCTCCTCACTGGTGGGTGGAGGCAGGGGGGGGCTCGGGTCCGCGGCAGCGCCGGC